CCCTGGAGGCATTTGTTTTAAAGAGAAGGGGCAGGGTGTTTCCCTATGGTTGAGACTGCTACTTCCTTCCCAGAATCCATTTTCTTCCTCCTTAGCAAGTGACCCCTGAAGTGTCACAGGCAGCAATGGGCTCAGCTGCACGGACTACATTTCCCAGCCTTCTTGACACTAAAGAGTGGCCAGTGAGATGTAAGAAAAGTTGAGTGCAGTTCCAAGAAAGCTCTCTAAAACGGAACTGAATTATCTAGAAAAAGACACCCTTTTGTTCCCCGCCCCCACCTCCCACCACTTGCTTCCTCTTCTTCCTGCCTGAAATGGAGAGACGATGGCCGGAGTCTCAGCAGCCACTTTGGAATATAAGGTGACTTTGAGGTTGGAAGTTACTAGCCTAGGGATGGCAGACTACGAATCATTCCACATTTAGCGAATCCTAGCTGTGGACAAACAAGGGTTCACGGGTCAAAGACCCTGGGTTTGTAGTTTCTAAAATCGGTATTGACGCCATTTTTCTACTTCCTAAGACCTCTTCCTTCTAGACTTTGATCTTGGGACGTAACCTTACAGTTCTCACTTAAGCCTGGGTCCAGGTCCTGGAAACAGCAGCGAGGGCTAAATTGTGAACTTCAGTTAAAAGAACCCAGGTGACACCAGCTGCTAGGCTCTGATTTATGCGTGGTAAAATAGAAGTAGAACATGAGACTCTCTTGAGTCACATCCGATGAAAAACCAACAGACCACCCACGTAATTGACCAAATAAGAAAGCGGGCAAGAGAAGTGTTGGAAGGGAATATACACCGAGTCTAAGTGTCTACAGCAAGGCCTCCTTGGGAAGTGACTGTTTCTACTATTTTAGAGCTATCTATGTCTATATAGAGATCTTAGAATTTTAGTAAATAAAAAAGGTGAAATGACACTTCAGTGTTACCAAAATACAGAATGTCATTTGTCTCGGGAAACCAGAGGATTAAGGTCTGTAAAAAGTGCCTCTGTCTCTCGGAAAAATCCAGAAAAGTCTATGTAGGTGCGTCCACAGGGTTCTGTAGGCTCCAGAGCTCAGCTACCATCCCCAGCGGGAGCTTGTTGTACCCATGGCAGGGGGGTGGGGTGCAGAGAGGAGGAGTTCCCCAGATAACCTCACCCCCAACTTCTCCGGTTCTAAAATTTTAAAGTCCAGTGGGAAATAAACGTTTCCTTGATCATCGTGAGGGATAGAAAACGACCCAGCGGGGGTTGATTCTCCAAGTAAGCCGGGGACGGTCACACCGTTTTAAAATTGAGACATTACTGCCACCTGTTGACTAATTATTGACAATTTACCCCAGCCATCAAGCCCAGCAGGAGTGGGCGCTTCTTTTAAAATGTGGGCAGCGGGCACTGGGCACTGCTGAAAGGGAAGAAGATACTTATGCCGAAGCTTGTCGACGGAGGGTAACTGTATGCTAAGGCCCTTTGTGAAAATGTTCCATTGTCCTGAGACAAATGACAAAATGTATTTTGTTCCACTGAGGGGAAGGTTTTGTCAAAATGCTTCTTCGTTGTGTGTTTTCTCCCCCCAGAGGGCCTTATACTTTGAAAACTATTTTTGCATGCAGCTACCAGATCTTTCCATCCACCCTAAGAGGTAGGGAGGGTGGGACACCCCAATGTACAGATGGAAACAGAGGCCCAGAGAGGTGAGCCGACTTACCTCCAGGAGTGTGGCAGTCTCAACCCCTGTGTAGGGCTCCTTGGCACAGAGGATCGGGAGTTTGGGCAGCGAGCTTATTATTAGGCAGTGGAGCCAGAAAACCTGTCCTGTCACCCTTTGCTGCCATTCTCTTACTTCCTGCTCGGTCTTGAGAAAAGCAGGGCAATTATTATTGAATATCAATAAGTGGGGAAACTGAGGCACAGCTGCGTGCCCTCCCTCAGCCCACATTACCAGCGGGGAGGAGATGGACCACCAGACACACAAAGAAGGGGAAGATCTTGCTGTGGGAGAGAAGAATCCCCAAATCCTACCTTCATGCTCTCTGTGCTGTCCCATGTTAGAAAGGGACCTAGCCCTTGAATGACTGGGACCGTGAAGCTCTGGTATCGCCTGACCCTCCAAGCGGGCCGTAGGCAGGCTCTGTTCATTTTCCTCCTTCTCTACCACTCCAAAGAGTGCTCTCCAAGACGACTTTTTCTTGCCCAGGTTTGTGGCCTGCTCAGGGGATGGGGAAGTTCTCCAAGCCCATGACACTTGTGTCCACGAGTCGTTTGCTGGCCAACTCCCTAGTCCTCTCTGGGACAAACTTCTGGTTCTCGGCGGCCTTGGGGAGGAGGCAGCCGGCGGGTTCTTGAAGACGTGGTGTTTGGCGTAGAACGCCAGGATTTTGAATTCTAAGCTGTTTGGGTCGTCATCGTCCAGGGGGATCTCCTCCAGGTCCCAGGCACTGGTGGCGCACATGGCGACCCTGCAACAACAAAGTCCACACGTGTCCTTTGACCTGTGGGCGAGCTACTCTCTGTAGGTCCGGAGAGGTGGGTGGAGTGCCGCGAACATTCCTCGAGCACCTGTTCTGTCCAGAGGCAGGGAGGCATCGGACGCGGAAAACGCAGGGTTCTTTCTGAAAGCACAGCCTCAGAGACAAGGGAGAGAGAAGGCACAGAGACAGCTCCACACGAAGAGAGTGGGCGAGGAGCCAGATCAGAGGTGCAGGTAGCCAGTGAGGGGAGGGGGGATGGTGGGGGTGGGGAACACCTGCCCAGAGAGGGCAAGCGAAGCCTCTAGGACACATAGAGAGGGTTTACGCGGGTGGGTGGGTATGGGGGCTAAGAACAGGGTGCGGAGTGCTGACCGCAGGAGCGAGATGTGCTTGGTAGAGTGATGCAGAGGGCTGACAGACACGAGGCTTTGTGACAGCTGGGGCTGAGACAGAGGACAGGCGAATGGCAGGGGGCTTACGGGGCCTTTGAACCTGCGGCTAAAAGCTCTGCCTTTTCTCACTCTGATCAGTCAGTACTTCCCAAAAGGAGCCTGAGACCTGAGACCTCAGAAGGCAGTCAAAGGACTTCCTGGGGAGGGTAGTTGGGCAAAGGGGGAGGCTAACTCAGGAGGGAAATAACTGGGGTCTCTGACCCTTCCCATCCTCTCTTCCTTCTTCCTTTACCGTCTCCACTGGCTTGCATAGGTCTGCTTCTACCTCCTGCCATCTTGGGATCCCAGGTCTGCCCGGGGCCCTGGGATGGCCTGGGGAGCTGCTGCTTCTGACTCTTTGCTCGCTCAGGTCATGATCTCATGGTTCGTGAGTTCGAGCCCTGCCTCGGAGCCTTCTTGGGATTCTCTCCCTCTCTCTCTGCCCCTCCCCCGCTAGAGCATGCACTCTTGCATGAGCGCGTGCTCTCTCTCTCTCTCTCACTCTCAAAATAAATCAATAAATAAACTTAAAAATGTCTCATTTGAAAAAAATCCTGCTATTTTTACAGCTTTGAAGAGCACTGATGGAGGCAGCAGAGAGCTTTTCAAAGTTTTGGTGGGAGAGTGATATAGTCACTGGCAGGTTTTGGGAAGATCAATCCGAGCACTAAGATGATGGAATGGAAGGATTTCATCTTTATTTCTGAATGAATAACTGGACATGTATAATAAAATGATTTTCTTCAATTAAAGCTTTCATGAAATATCACCTTTTTTGGTTTCCTGCTAGGAAATAATTTCATTTTTAAAAAAATGTTTATTTTCGAGACAGAGAGAGAGAGAGAGTGCTCCTGTGCATGAGCAGGGGGAGGGGCAGAGAGAGAGAGGGGAAGAGAGACTCTCAAGCAGGCTCTGCACTGTGAGCAAGGAGCCTGACACGGGGCTCAAACTCACAAACTGTGAGATCATGACATGAGCCGAAATCAAGAGTCAGACACTTAACAGACTGAGCCTCCCAGGCGCCCCTAGGAAATCATTTCTTTTTTTGCAAATAATATACTCTGTTTTCTTCTGTTAGATGTTAAGGACTACATTTTCCATTTTGTTCCTGATGCCGGAAAGTGCTGGCCTCCCATCTCATTGGATTACAATTTCATAGGCAGTGGCTGTACTAGAAAACGGCACGGGCTTCTCACTCTGACAATCTGGAGATTTAAGCTTAACTCCTGGCCTTCCAACTGACTAGCTGTGTGACCTGGGACAGGTTACTTCACTTCTCTGAACCTGAATTTCATGTAAGTAAATTAAAAATAAGAAATCATCTTGCAGGGATATTGTGAGGCTATAAGATAACGTATGAGAAGTCCCACCAGAATCTGACTCAAAAATGGTGGCTATAATTTTTTTGTCTAGTACAACTGTTATTCCCCAGGCCCTCTGACTCTGTTCTTGAGGTGGCTTTTAATCATGTTCCCTTCCCTCCATGGTCCTACTTTGGCATGGAAGCTGGTGATAATAAGTAAGCTGTGGTGATATTCACGGGATCCACCGGCCTATCTATTCCTCCTTTTCTCTCCACTATTTCCTCTTCTAGCGAGACGAACTCACAAAGAAATGGGACCCTAACTGCAGACAGGGTTTGAGGCAGTGAGACAGGGTACAAATAAATTGTCTGGAGGCTGATGGTTGGGGCTGGCTCAGCTTCTAACGTGCAATGTTCTTGGACAAGTCACTTAATTTCTTTGGTCCTTCGTTGCCTCATCCAATATTCTCTACTTTTCCCAAAGGTTCTACTGTTTGAAGGAGGTGTAGTGACTGAAATATCTTCCCTGCCTGCCTGCCAGTGCTTCCTGTTTCCACTTTTGTTTCCTCTCTTTTATTTGTGAGAGGCTGGTACAGAAGCCATTCATCTGAGGAAAGGCCCCTTGGCCTGAGAGAGCAATGGCCCCTGTCTGGGTGAGTTCTGACAGAAGCGAGGCTGGGAGGGGCTGCAGGGGGCTGTGCCAGAACATCAAGGTGCACATGGAGGGGACAGAAATGGGTTTCCCAGGGTGGCCAAGGAAGACTTGCTAGATCTGAACTGCCTCCTACACACACAGGCGTAGTTACACGACTTCTGAGCTCCACACACCTGCCTCAGGTAACTGAACATGAGTAAAGCTTGAGAGCTGTGGCGTGAGGTAGGGGTCAGAACCACTATGCTTCCTCCTCCCTTATGTTTCCTCATATCCCTGTCCTATTCCAGGCTTTGACAATCTTTCTTCCCTCACCATCTCCCAATTTCACAGTCACATGATGCACCACAGTGAAACTTTTGCTGTCTGGAGTCACTTCAACAACTCCACAACGCACATGCTCCTTCCCGCTGCTTCTCCACCTTTGCCTCCCCCCGCCCCCCATATTCCCGCCCTCCCCCGCCACATGGTCTCAAAGGTCAACTGTTTGCCTCTTCCTGGTGCGGTGTTAGCCACCCCCCCCCCCCCCCCAAGTAGGATCCTTTCCCAAGTTTGTCTAGATGTACTCTTTCCTCCTCAACAGAATATAAACCCCATGAGGGCAGGCATGTCTGTGTGCTCTTTTGTCTCAGCCCCATGCCCAGTGCCTACAATAAAGCCTGGAGCAAAAAGGCACTTGACAATGGCTTGTGGAATGTTTTTTCCTATTTGGAGACAGACTGGGTTCAAATCCTGGCTCTGCCACTAGCAGTCATGTGACTTGCCTCCATGTCTCAGTTTCTCATGTTCCCATTCAGTATCCCATTTTAAATGGGTGTGATGACAGTACCTATTTCATGCCATTTTGGAGATTAAATTAGTTAATATTTGTAAAGCATTTAGAATAGAACTTAAGTGTTTGAACAAGTGCCTGGATAAGTCTTTCATTAAAGAATATTTATTTACTTTGGGCAGTGCTGCTTTAGTTAAGCTCCAAGGGGGTTTCAGATGGCATGGGGAGAGTGCGGCATTTGCAGTGAGGAAGAGAGATTGGAAAACTGCTTTTTCACTTATTGGTAAAGGGTCTGAAGCGAATCACTAACCTCTCTGAGGTGTTGTTCTCCTATTTATAAAATATGACTCATAGTATCTAACTCATTGACCATGTAGGAGGACTAAATTACAAAGTGAAAATCCTTAAAACAAGTGGTGGTCCGTACAGAGTAGTGGTTTACATGCTGGCTTCTTGATTTAGAGAACCTAGGTCACATGCTGGGTCTTCTGCTTATGAGCTGTGTGACTGGGCGCATTTCTTAATTTATTTGTGCCTCCATTTTCCCATCTGCAAAATGGGGATAAAAAAAAAACCCTATTAGGGGCTGACTGGGTGGCTCAGTTGGTTGAGTGTCTGACTCTGGATTTCAGTTTGGGTCATGATGTCACAGTGGTCATGAGGTGAGGCCTGGAGCGGAGTTGAGCTCTGCACTGGGCACGGAGCTTACAGAAGATTCTCTTTGTGCCCCTTTCCCTTCTCGCGGTCTCGCTCTCAAAAAACAAAAACAAAATAACGAAACAAACAAACCCGCTTTGTCAAGTTTGTATGTGGATACAAAGAATTAGTGTGTGTAAGTCACTTAAAATAGTGCATGGTAGATGATAAATGCGCAAGAAATATTGGCATTATTATTTATTACAATTATATTTTTTCATAGGTTACCTTTTTGTAAATAAATATTAGTGTTTATAAAAGCAACCTCATCAAATGCAGCAATTAAGAAAACTAGTGACATACAAATATTTGGCTTAGCACAAAAGCCACCCTTTTATACACATATATATGTATATGGTGTGTGTGTGTGTGTGTGTGTGTGTGTATAAAGTATATATTCTATAAGATATGAAGACTGGAACCTGGCTGGCTTTCCCAGCACCAAGCACCATGCCTGACACACGTAAGTTCTCCATGAATATTTGATGAATGAATAAAAAATGATTATAGAACTGCCAGATAAAATACAGGACATCTATTAAATTTGAAGTTCAGATAAGCAAATATTTTTTAGTATAAATATGTCCCAAATATTGTATGGAACATACTTATACTTAAAACAAAGTATTTGTTGTTTATCTGAAATGCAAACTAAATTGGACGTCTCGCATTAAAAAAAAATTTTTTTTTGATGTTTATTTACTTTTGAGAGAGAGAGACAGAGCATGAGTGAAGGAGGAACAGAGAGAGAGGGAGACACAGAATCCGAAGCAGGATCCAGGCTCTGGGCTGTCAGCACAGAGCCCGACGCGGGGCTTGAACCTACGAACCATGAGATCATGACCAAGTCAGACACTTGACCAACTGAGCCACCCAGGCACCCCTGGATGTCATGCATTTTTATGCAAATCTGGCAACTGTATGCATGTAAGATGTTGAGAACTGAGTAAAAGTAAGTGACTGAGATGGACCAAGGGAGAGAGTGAGCAGCCTGAGAGGAGCAGGAGAATAAGCCAGAAAGAGTGAGTCAAGAGCAGGATAGGTGGTCAGAACTGGGAGAGCCCACTTGGTGTGGCAGGAGGTGAGCTCAGGCAACAGCCCAGAGCTGGACTGTGTCCGGAGAGAAGTGATCAGGTTTTAAAATGGAAGCTTCCTTTTGAATTGGGCCGCTCAGGATGGCTCTGGGCAGGGAAGGCACTCAGGTCCTGCGGGAGCTATGTCCTGGGTGGGAGAGTGAGTCCTCTCCTCAAGCCATACTATGCTTCTGAAGAAACCTGCACGTAAGTTAAAAAACCCCAAACCTTTCTAACGTAGTGGGACGGCTTTAAAATTGTGTGTGTGCATGTGCACGCGAGCGTGCGTGTGTGCGTGTGTGTGGCACTGATTGAGAGAAGTGGGGTCTGACCTCTTTAAGAAAAGAGTTTGCTAGATGCTGACTCAGGAGCAAGATCAGAAAAGGGGAAAATTACTGAGGTCAAGATGGTGCACCCAGTCTTTCCACGTGAAAGAAGAGATTTTTGTCATGTTACAAGCTAGAAAGGAACGGAGCCCTTGGCCCAGCCAAAGGGCAAGTCTGAAAATGAGAGAGAAGCCGAAAGCATCACAGAGCTCAGGTACTGGCCCGGATGAGGCAGCCCTACGGTGGGGGGGTATGGGAGGTGGGGAGTGGGTAGGTGCTGTGACCAGCGCCCGCAAAGCACTGGGCTAAAATAAAACGGTGGAGACATGAAAGTGTCAGTTCAGACACGTTAAATGCATTTGACAAGCGTAGGGTCTTGCCCTCTACTGATCCTCATTGTAAACGAAGGGAAAGCCGTTAACTTTATAGCTAAGGCTTGTTTTAAAGCAGGATTGCTTAGTGTATCACCTGTTGGGTCCCTTCTGCTCTCAGCTATTCCTGTGGAAAGTAAAAGCCCAACTTTTTATTTATCTATTTTATTTTTTTTTCCAATATATGAAATTTATTGTCAAATTGGTTTCCATACAACACCCAGTGCTCATCCCAAAAGGTGCCCTCCTCAATACCCATCACCCACCTTCCCCTCCATCCCACCCCCCATCAACCCTCAGTTTATTCTCAGTTTTTCAGAGTCTCTTATGCTTTGGCTCTCTCCCACTCTAACCTCTTTTTTTTTTTTTCCCTTCCCCTCCCCCATGGGTTTCTGTTAAGTTTCTCAGGATCCGCATAAGAGAGAAAATATATGGTATCTGTCTTTCTCTGTATGAAAAGCCCAACTTTTGAATTTATGGACACTCACACCATAAATATTCTGCATGTCGCCGAAAGAAAGCCCTGGGTGCCCCCTCCCCCCACCCCGGGCTGGTTCAGAGCCTGGACTGGGGGATCGGCTACACGGTAGGACCCATGAGGCTAATTCTAACTCAGTGACTCAGGATCCTCAGCCCTGCTGGTCCACCCTCGGTCTATATCCACTCTCCTTATCCATAACAAACCACGGCAAGCCTACTTTCACAAGCAAGGTCCGAGAGCGTTGGCCTCTCTTCCCTCTCTTACGGGTCCTCCCTCCCCTCTCCCCTCCTAAATGGCCAAAGTCCCCCGGTGTCCCCTCTCCCTTTGGGAGCCGCTGCCCAGAGGGCTGTGTGGGCGGCACTGTATGTGCAGCTGGGAAGTCCGAAACTTCGGGAAGGTCCTCAGCTCTCATCACCAGACGGACACGCTTCTGGGGATTTTTAGCGGTGGATTCACTGCTGAGGCTGGATGTCACTTCCCTCCCCGTGTCAGGTAACGGACAAGCACGCGTGCCTCGTGGTTCCGGCACGGAGGCTGCCGTGACTGGTGGCCGAAGCGAGCCCGACAGCGTTGAGCTCAGTTTGCCGCGTGCGGGTCTGCGCGGTGCCAAGGCCAAGGCCGTGGAGGGCTCAGCCCACGAGGCCACTTCCACCAGCTCTGGATGTACAGATGAGGCCCGGGAGTCACGCGCGCCTGTACACAGACACTCATCCCCCAGGGGGTTCCCAGACCTAACTGTCAGCTGAATTTTGTCTGGTTGCCTCGAGCCTTCCCTTCGCACCCTGTGGCCCCTGTGCCCTTCAGAGGCTGTCTTTTCCTTCCTCCCCGAACTCCAGACAGTTTTATACCTCCATGCCTCTCCCCTGTTTGCCATCTCCGAGGAGGACACGTTTTGCAATCCTAATGGTGAAATGAGCTAAAAATATCTTCACTTCCCACAACAGAAGGGAACCTGAGAGACAGAGCCTTAGAGCACTTCAGTTATACAAAAGGACTGAGGCTCTAACAGGGCAGGGGGTGGGGGTGGGGGTGGGCTCCGACAGGAGGGAGCTTTCTAGAAGGGAGGGAGAGGGATTTCCCATTTTACCTGGGCCTTGCCAGTGAGGGTCTGCCAGCGCTAGACCGCGTTCCCACAAGGTGCCCAGGACCCTGGGCGCAAACCCGGGGATTCCCGTCCTCAGCCCCCTCCCTGCTCTAGGAGACAGC